AGAGGAATCTCAGCTCCAGCCCTGGAGCAGCTCCTGCCCCTCCCTCTGCACTGACCTTGGTGTCTGCAGGGCTGCTCCTCTCATTTATTCTCACATTCCTCTTCTCTGGCTGCAATTACATCTGTGCCATAACTTTTAATCCTAAGTATGTTATCACAGAGGCCTGGCCACCATTTCTAGTCAGCCCAGCCTTGGTCAGTGGCACATCTGCCTTGGGGCTGGCTGGCTTTGCCTCTGATGGAGGTGGAAGAAGCTTCCAGCAGCTTCTAAAAGCCACCCCTATAGCCCCCCCACTACCAAAACCTGCCCATACACACCCAATGTACTCTGGGCTCTGTAGTATTTTGCTTTTCTGAATTCAGGTCTAAAATGTCAGTAGAATTGATTCACATAGCTTACACTTAGTCCTAAATAATAATGACTTTTTTGCTTTAAAACAAAGTGAATGGTAGCTAGACAATGGATAGTTTTGGATTTGGCTGCTTTACAGAAAACATTTGAAAGACAACAGACAAATTTTTTTATAATAAAACAGTATTGAATGTAACTGTAAAATAAAATTGAAGAGATATATGGTTGTCTTTTATGCAATAATTAACTGTGTGCACAGATTCCATTAAATGGAACATGTGAAAGTGCATTTATATTCTTTTAATGACTGTTTAGATAAGAATTTGCAGTTAATTCCTAATATTACTTTAAATCTTTATGCTTTCTTTTTGCTTCTTTGACTCCAAAGCAGAAGAAATTACTCTTCCTTACACAGGACAGATAGGAATTCAGAAGTAAAAGTTAACATAAAATTTAAGACTGTCTTGAGCAAGTATTTTAATAAATGAGAGAAATATTTAGCTATGACACATTTCACAAACAAAACCCCCACGGCATGTTTATATACTTGTTCTCTGATTATTGTTATTATATATTTTAATTTAATGATGATACAAAGAGTTTAGCAGAAAATAAATTTTTCTGCCATCTTGATTGAAGTAACATTTCGCTTACTACTTCTGAAAATAAGTAGTAAACAAACAATAACAGAAAATTTTTTGCTCTGGGCAGCAAAATATACTAAAATCCCCACATGTGGTGTAGAGGAGTTGGTGTGTCATTGATAACACAAGTGTGCTGAGGTCTTTTCCTCCCATGTTGCGCAGTTTTCCCTTCCCTCTCCCATTGAGAAGCTATGGAAACTCAGGAAATTTCTGAATTTATTCACAGTATTCATGGCTGAAACTTCAGGAAGACAGAATGTCAGGGAATTCAGCCTCTAATAACAGTATGATAGAACTGAGACACAGTCACTAATTCAATTACAGATTGGTTCCAGTTGTTTTGATAGTCCATCAGATCTCAGTGTCTCACAGGGGAAAACGTTCCCTTTGCTCTTGGGAAACATGCCCAAACCATCCAGCTCTTTAATAGGCACTGCTGGCAAATGTCAAATCCATGGATTCTTCTGGCATGCCTGGGAGAACAGGAGCTGTCAATTTCTTTCAATATCATTCACATTACATGAGAAAGCAGGGAGCTAGGAAACATTGGAGTTCTCAATATTTGCATGCTGCTTTTGCAGCATTCATCTGACCTAGGAATATGTTGGCATTTTACCTCAGATAGCTGGGAGTGCTTTTGAAAACAAGGATGGTCCAAACCCATTAATCACTCTGTTCTTTTCTGTGCTTGTGGCTTTCTGCCATTGTGATGGTCCCTGAGAGATGAAGTATTTCTTATTCAGGAATTAAGTGCTAACGTCACTGCTGCTACTAGAAAAAAATCTGGTTGCTTTCCCAGCTATAAGTCTTATATATAGCATGAAATTATGTGTCAGCCACTGTTCATTGTTGTATTATGTTGGTTGCTGGGGAAGCCTGAGCTCCTGCTACAAAGCATAAAAACCCTTCAGGGCTGGGGAGCTGTTTATTTGTGAATAGTAATGGCAGAACTGCCATGGGTCATCTTTTCCTCTTTCTTCCAGTTCCGTCATCTCTGGATCTGTTCTAGGATTTCTGAGGAGAGGAAGGAGGGCAGGACTTTATTGATGTTTACATTGCAACTTCTCTGCATCTAATTTGTTTTTTATTTTTAAAGATCTATAAAATGCCACACTCTTAGGTAAAGTTTTCTTTTGTCACTAATCAATTCTGCAAGCAATTTGTTTTGTTTCCTAAACTAGCAGTATGAGATCCTCTTGAACATATTTTTTTAGTTTACACAAATGATATTGCAGCAGGAATTTGTCAGTTAGATGCTAATGGATTTGGATTTTTCTCATTAGAAATTTAGTGATACTCTGCATTACTTAATGAATACTATTGAAGAAGGGTTAAACTATGCTTACATATTTAGAACATTTGGGCTACACTGATACAAAACAAATCTTTTGTTTGTACTTAGGATACACCTGAAATGCCATAGAGCAGATTAAAAGGGATAAATACATTTTGATTTGGGTTCTTGTGTCTTTCCACAAACATTAAAACAAATAAATTAATGAAAGGAAACAAAACCCCCCCCAGAGTTACTTTAAGAGAAGTGAAAGAGCTTCTCATATAAACTTCGTTTTACAGTGTTGAATGGTATTTTTTTTGTCATCACAGTTGGAGCTTTACCTTCTGGTGATCAAATGTTGGTAACCACAATATATTTAATAGCCATTCTGCTGTTCTGTGTTCTTTGGAAATACACTTTAGGGAATAAACACTGGAATAGGAGTGGCAATGATGGTTCAGGTAGATAACAAATTTTTACTTGCTTTAGTAAGCATTGTAAAACCAAATACACTGAATAATTTAATGTATTTAGTGACACATTTTCTAGCTTCATGTTTGCTAGCAATACAGGTACCTTTTATTCCAACAGGATAATACAGACTTTTGTATTATTTAATTAAACTCTACTGTAAATACAAATAAATATCTTGTATAAGACCTCTAGTTTTGCAACATCATTTCATTAATGAAATTGGAAGTAAAGGTCAGTGGTGCAAGAAGCTTTTACACGTACAGAATGCACATGTCTTTGTTATCTCTCTTCTGTATTTGTGTGCTAGTGTACACTCTTCTCTCTGGTGCCCTCTTACTCAGTTTCTCAAAGGCATGTGATAAATACTTAGCTCCTAGCACCTTCACTTTTCTGCCATGTGTGCTTGTGAATGGAGTGGAATTATTTGAATCTCAGATGAAATTTTTAGGTACAGACTCATTCTTGAATTTTATTTCAAATACCACTTCTGGGTAAGTGGGCAGGTGGCCAATAAGTGAGTTGATCTTTATTATCACAGAATGCCTGATGTTGGAAAGATCTTCAGAGATCATCTTGTCCCCCCTTCAAAGAACCAACTCTCTTGCCCAGTTGATTTCTCTTAGTGTCTTCAAGGATGAGACTCCATAACCTTCTCTGGGCAGACTTTTCCAGTGTTTAGCCACTGGTTTTGGTTTTAGTTTGTTTTTTTTCTCTTATAATGAGACAGAATTTCCTGTGTTTCAGTTTGTACTTTCTGCATTTTGTGGTCTCACTGATCATCACTGAGAAGAATCTCCTTCTTCCCTACTCCCTCTCGTCAGATATTTGTGCACATAGACAAGATCCTCCTGAGCCTTCTTTTCTCACAGCTGAACACTCACACCTCTCAGTCTCTCCCCACAGCTTCTTCAGTCCCTTCTACATCCTTCATTCCTGACCACCACGTTCTCATGCTCACTGCAGCCACAGTCATGGAAGTTAAATCCTTATGATCAACATCAGCTGCAGAATCAGTTGATGACTTGCAGGATCCATCCCCTCCTCCTTAGTGTGTGCATTGTGTTTGCTGTTGGCTGGGTTTGTTCATGTCTCTTACTGTGCTACCACAGCAGCCAGCGAGGCACATCCATGGAACAGGGACGAACTTCACTTGCAGCACCACCATGAACTCTGAGGGGTTTATTTGTACACAGATGTTCTGTTTTGAGGCTGTTCTTTATATTCTACATTATGCAGTTACTTTCTTTGCTCCGAGTAATTTCACCCATGGAATTTGTGTAAGGGGTTCAGATGTACTGCAGTTGTTCTCAAGCACACTATTCTGTGTTACATTACTGTGCAAATCAGATCATGAATGAAGATTTTCCCGAATCTCAAACTGGCATTTAGGATGGAAATGACTGAGGCGCTCACTTCAGAATGAGAAATCAAGAAGTTGACTGAGTCTGATAATACAGACAGCTGAGTTGCTTTCATGTAACTGGAGAGCCTTCATTCTGGCTCTCATTCTCTCTCTTTCATGTAACTCGAGAGGTCTTTCATTAACCTCCATCCAGCTTTCTTCCTCTCCTGCCCCTCACTCAGTTGTCTGAAGTTCAGTGTGCCTGCAGAGTATTGAGAGTTGCCATTTATCACAGTAAAGTCATGAGTTGGAAGTTGCAAACCTTTGTCTGTTGTAGTTATTGACCCTGTGTATCCTTAAATGCCTTGGTAAAGGTAGAACAGGCAAGCCCTTACACTTGTTTTGAGTATGTACAAATGTACACTTTGTGCACAGAGATAGGTGTAGAGGTACCTCTCACAGCCATCTGTCCTGCTGATGCCCTGATGCTGAGATTTTTTGCTGAATAAAAGCAGAAAGAATGATTTTTGCTACAAGAAATATTATTCTGCAAGGTGCAAGTGGCCAGAGCCCTTGCCTTGCCCCCAGCCAAGTTCCAGTAGGATTAACATTTCCTAAGAGCAAACCAATGCATTGCAGAGCTGGATTATTTACTTAAATGACTGTTAGCTCTCAAACTGGAATCCCAGTGGGATTTTTTACCTGTAAGAAATTTGGCTATGGATTTTGTTGGAACCTTTCTCTATTTATTAAAGTTGCCTTGAAAGTCATATCAAAGAATATTTGGAGAGCAAAGTATGAATGAGGAAATGTCCTGGTTTAGGGCAGATTTGGGGGAAAACCTCTGGAAGGACCCCCCAGAAAGTAAACCCCCACGACTCCTCCCCCCACCACTGGGTTCAGGAAGAATTTCCTCAGAGAGAAGTGAAAAAAACCCGGTTTATTTAACAAGCAAAACACTCCCCAGCACAAAAGAAAAAAAAAAAAAAGAAAAAAAGAAAAATTAACAACACCAGATGATAAAAACTCTTTCACCACTCTGAAAGGATGACAAACTCAGAACGTTTCTCCAGCAAGTGGTCGCTCAGTTATCAGTCTCTGGCGCTGGGGAATGGCTGCTGCAGGTGACAGAATGCAGACTCCCGGTGTTTCTTGGGGTTTCCCAGGTCCCCGTCCGGAACAGGTTCAGATGGTATCCAGGAGAGGGAGAGGAAAAAAAAAGAAAAAATCCAGGGAAAAAATTGGACTGCCTAGCTAAACTAACTAATAAGCAAAAACAAGGGCAAAAGCAAAAAGTAGGAGCGAGAGCAAAGCCAAAGCAAGCAAGCCAAGCCCAGCCTCTCCTAAACACAGACCATGGCGGCGGTGAGCCGGCTGATAACGAGACAAAACAAAGCTTCACTTTCAGAGTCAGTCCTGAAAGCACACGACATAATACCAAACATAAACAGAACACACTATTGGAGATACAAACACCATAACATCACCCTAGGACAGGAAACAAAACGAATTTCTGGTACTTTTAAAACATTCCTGTTTTCCTTGATTATGTTATTCCACAAAAATTATGTCGTCTTATAAATAAATTAATCTGAGAGGTCTTGTGATATCTTTTAATATTAATCTAAATTTGCAATAAATAGAAATTTCTCTTGGGTTGTTTCAAGGAAATAGAAAATATACTCATTTTTTCTGCGCAAGGTATATTTTTAATATGCGCAATTCTCAATATATTAAAGCAAGATGGATATCAGCATGCTGTTTGAATTATTAAAATACATTTTTCATTTTACTTTTGACAGTTTAGTCAAAACAATTAATTAAAATTAATGTTACTTAGTAAGTAAATGAGGACTACAAACCCAAATTTTAATAACATAGGACTAAGCTCAGTTTAATTACCTGTCAGTTACAATGAGCTAAGAACATAAATACAGATGGCTCACAGGATTGCACTGATGGCCATAATTTGCTTGTTGACTACACTCTGAGAGACTGAGGTGAAGTACAAGAAGAGGGTTAAAAGGTGGATTGCTGCACATCAATAAAGTTGCTGCAGGTAGAGCAGACACTCTAGGGAACATCAGAACATGGGCATCAATTTCTATTATATTCCAGCAACTGCAGTCAATATCCTATTGTTTTTAAATTGAATCTATTTATTTTTAAATATTTATTTTAACATTTCTGTAAAGTCTTACAGAATAAATGCTACATCAAAATATAAGTTGCTTTTCAAGAAAACTTCCCTTGTCAAAAGTTATAGGATATATTATTTAGCAAGTTAGCAGGCATATTTAGCAGATTTATTAATGTCAGTTGCAATTTTAGGTGTTTTTCTTTTTCTTTTTAGAAATACACAGTTAATTTATTTAATTAAATCTCTGCTGACTCTGACTGATGATACACCCATGCTCATAGTAAAACTAAGAAGTGGAAACACTGTACTAAGCTTCAGCATTTTAAAAGGTGCAATCCCACCTGTGTAATCCATTCAACCATTACAGAAGAATGAAGGAGTTCTGATGCCTTCACTCTGTTTTTTGTTCTTGTACTGAAAAAATATTTTGATTATCATTGGTAAATAGAAAATAGTAACTTCTGTATTTTGTTTTCAACAGGTTCTCATTTCTGGTTGCTGGAACAACAGACAATTGTCTTCTTACCTTATACCCATACTTGGCATTGCACTGCTCTGATCAAAAAATTGTCTGGAGAAGCAGTAAGCTGTCAACACTCTACCTTTGAGATTATATTATGTTTATTAGTATTAGCAGTGTTTTCAGGGTGATAACAGGGGTATGATCATCAAGATAGCATTTTCCTTCATTTATTGCAGGGGGTACTGCAATTAAACTTTTAAAACCATTTATTGGTTCAGTTTTCTTGTTGAAAATAAGGACAAGTTATATAAAGGATTAGGTAGTATTTATTGAAAAATATTGAAAAAACTGAAATCTTACAGAATGTTTTGTGACTTGTTCTAAATATGACTAGGGAAAACAGCCAAAACATTAGAGAACAAGTTAACTTAATTTGAATTGTATTGATAGACAGTGTTCATATATTTTGAAGAAAGTAAAAGAGAAACCACATGATATTACTTTAAAGTGTGATCATTATTTTCCTGTTGGGAATAGTTTTCAGGGAATAGTTTTTGACTCCTGTCATTGAAGATAGAAGGGCACAGCTATCTTTTAAGACCTCATAAAAACCTGTGGTCAGAGAGCAGAAATATTTTTATCTGCACTATGTCTCCCTGCCTGCCTCCCTCTGCCTGCCTCTGTTTCTAAATCTCAGCCTGTGTTCCCCCTCCTGAATCCATCTCTGCTGCCTCAGTGATCTGTAATCTCTGTGTGTGGTTGTGTTTATGGAAAGATATTGGGATCATTGTATAATTCAGGTTGGAGGGGATCCATGGGGGCCATCTAGTCCAACCTGCTTAAAGCAGGTTCAGTGTGGGGTAAATGATTATGATTTTTTGTAGCTGTATATGTGATCTGATGCATTTTGATGAAATAGAGAAGTTTTTGGGTAAGGAAGTAAGTCCTTAGATCTGAGACTGATTTAGCATCAAAGACTGAATTCTAAGACTGCATTAACTTAAAGTAAATGTGTCACTCAGAGTATTTAAGGGAAAAGAGAATTGATATTTGGGAAATTGAGAACGGTATTAGCAAGAAGACAGGTAATGTTTTAGTCTTTTACACCGAAATGAAGAAGATAAGTATAGGTACCACATCATTCAGGGATCATAGCACAATTAAATGAAGATAGGAAGGGGAAAAAAGTATTCTCTCTTATTAACGTGTAATTTTTTGTTTATTTTCTTTATTTTTTATGACCCATAGACCATTTTTGCAAGCTTTTTTCTTAAAGATGCTTTGCAGATTTCCATTGAGGATTAAGCCAAAAATGGGGTTTTAAAATAAATGATCTTCCATTAATAATGGGATATTTCTTTCCTGCATTGTTTGCTTATTGGTTTGTTCACACAGTTTGTGTCAGTTTTGAAGTAGTCATTACTGCTAAATTCCTTGGGTCTTTTTGATGTGATTTTGTATAGACTGTGTTGGTGTGAATGCTGTTTAATGTGACCAAACCATATCTGTAGAGCACAGTGTCTTTGAAAGGTATCCAGGAAGGCTTTGCCTCCACTCTGACACCATGCTCTTGTTTTACTTCCTACAGGTGTGCTAGCAATCAAAAGTTAAAAGTTAAAATATAATAATAGAGAGTTCTTCCTTCTCCTAGTGGTGTATTTGCTTCTCTGGAAGCTTCACTTGGTGCCTCTTTTCTTTTGGTCTGACAACAGAGGGTCCTCTAATCCTGTCTTAGGCCAGTGTGAGAATGTCAAAATATCTGCTATTTCAGAACTGATGGACTGATAAAATTTACTTCTGAGTTTGGTTTGTAAAATATGTATTGTTGAATCTGAAAGAGCTTGATAATGATGTACTGAGACTCATTACACAGCTGTGAACAAGAAGTCCTTAAGAATATTTTGTTCATGACACTGAATTCTTGAACTGGCATTGTTCTGATAGGTGCTTTTCAGCTGGTAGGAAGATGCATCCTGTAAAATATACAGTTAATGGAGAAAAAAAAAGCATGAATTTTTTTCTGAATCCCAGTCTAAAGTGAGATTTTTATGAGAACTGAAATAAAAACTGCTACTTGATTAGTTGAATCATGAAGTAGATACTAATTTATAAATTTTTAGAGCACAGTAAAATATTTTTTCTCAGCTGCAACTTGAATCTTTTTTTACAGACAATAAAGACTTCAGCAGTGGTGAAGTTGTTCTACAGCCATGTTTTACACCACAGTCACCTTCACGTAGTTTTTCCACAAGTTCTTTAGGTGAAGCTAATGGCCAAAGCTATGAAGATTCTCTATCAGGTATAGTACAGCACATAAAATCAATGATCTTATAAAGAATGAGCCTCTTTTCTCCACATTGTATTGTTTTTTCTTCTTAAATCCCAGTAAGGGTTTTTTTTAATTCAAGAAGGTATCAATTAATATATTTTTTTGCATCATTTAATGAAAATGCAACAGTGGTATTAAAATACACCTTCAGGGTGTATTTAGGTGACTGCAAAAGTCACCTAAGTTATTTGTGCTATAAGTAAAACTATTGTTTGTTTTCTTAGCTACCTTTTTTGCAATTACATTGTTGTTGATGTTAACAACTAATAGTTGTTAAGATATATAAATTATGAGCAGATCAGAATTTAGGAGTGAGATAGCCTAACAGAGGGGAGAAAAGGCTTATAGATGTAGTGGGAGTTGTACCTGTACAATAACTGCTGAAGTGAATTTGCAGTGACTGACAGGCGTAGATGTGTCTGTTGGAATTGTGTGTGAGACTGATCCCTTTAAGATTCTGGCTGCAGTTTTATAAGCCATGCTTGAATTTATTTTTTGCTGGTTGGGAAATGCTTTCTTCTGAAAGTGAAATTAGATTGTAATATATCATTTATTCTATTTCTAAGACATGTATATGTAATTTAAATAGCTTTTTCCTAAAATAAGTTGATCATTTGTTGTCTGGAAGTTTTTTGTTCTTTGTAAATAATTGTATGTTGAATATTTTTGTACCAGACAAAAATGAGGAAATAAGAAATCTTTCTGGATGTTTTATTTTGTGTATATCATTCAGAGAGTACCACTGAAGAAAGTGAGAGTGATGAATATGAAAGTGAAGAGATTGAAGAAACAAGTGAAGAGAGTGAAACTGACAGTCAAAATGATGGGAAAGGAAATAAACGTGAAGTATCATTTTTTCCTGATGAAGATAAGGAGGAGTACATCTTCTTTCAAAAGACCCTAGCTGCTGTGAAGAGTTGGTTCACACTCTTTGGCTGGTCTAAGGGACAAAATCCCATTTCAATACCTCATTCACTGAGACGGTAATTCATGCTTAGAGCTAACTCCAGTCTGTCTCATTACAGGCTAACAGATCTACTCAAGTGGTTTGGATATGATCTAAGGAATATAAACACACTCTAATGCACAGTTTTCTATCAAAATTGTAACTTCTATATGGTGCTTATATGAAAATGTCATCCAGGTGTTAGTTTTTACGTTCTAAAATATATTTTCAACTACAATACTGCGTATCATACTGCAGTGTATGTTAAGCATGCAGTTCAAACGATATGTCACCTTCTTAACTGAATAGATTCTCCTCTAAGAGTGAAAACAGTTCTAGCCTTTGCCCCTTATTTGGTGGCATAAGTATGTGCTTTAACAATATGTCTTTTTCCCCCACATAATCTAAAGATCAAGAAATGGATGCGAAAGAATAATTTTATAATCGAGAGTCTTGCAAGCACCCTGAAAATATATCAGTTGTGGTGGCCTTACTTACTTGATCTTATCTAACTTGGTACTAAATAATGAAGAAGCCACTCTCCTGGGAAACAATCACATAGACATTTATAAACATGATAAAAATCTGAGTTATGTTTGTCAGAAAGTTTTATTCTGAAAGTTCTGTAAAGATGAAAAAGCGCTGTACTTTTTAACCTTCCTTGCTGCTGTTTTTAATTCATAGTTTGTTCAGTTAGCCTTGTGATATATGTAATTGTAGCTCATTTTGTGCATTTAGAAGAATAATATCAAAGGCTTTTTCTCTCCTAGTGATAGGTGTATAGTCCAGCTAACTGTTGCACCAGAAAAGAATTTTAAACGAAAGGTTGACAAAGATAAGTGTTTTTATGAGATGTTGCTGCATCTGAGTGGGCAACCAATACCAGGCATTGCAACGAGCCAGTCATTGTCCCCTGATCCAGTAGAAAGAGTCTTCCAAATCCACTGGCAGCATTCTGAATTGCTTTCCTTCCTTAAGTAAGTACAAGTATGATGAGATATCCATGCGTGCACCTTTTCTTTCCAGTTTTTAAAATTAGCATACTTCAAGCCTAGTTCTAACTGGATGGAACACAGTGCATTTAGGGTTTCTTTTATACTTTTTTGTGAGATAAGATGTATGTATTATAACCTTTAATTTATTTTTACAAAGGTTATCTGCAGTTTACACTAGTCAAAGTGTACTTTGGTAGGGTTATATCCAACACAGGAATTCCACAAGAGCTCTGCTTCCTTCATTGCAAAAAGATGACTCATAACCTTTCTTCTTAGACATACTTAGACATACAGTAGACAGGCACATGAAGTTTTTCATTCATCATCTTGTCATTCCACTGATGCTCTTATGTGCAGTCTTCCCATTGAGATTTTCTAGGAATCTTGAAACTAGCATAAATGATGTGTGTTGAATACTTTAAAATGATGAGTTTTGGGGTAAGTGGATCCCAACCCTTTTTGCTAAAAATAAGAGCAAATGGAAAGAACTACTTAAGTGTTTTGAATGTGTTTCTTGGGAATTTTTTCCAAGCTCTTGAACAGCTAAATTTTAATAAAAGACATCAGTTTTACTGAGCTTTGGCTGTTAAGTCATGGATGTATTCAGAGCAGAATTGAAGCAGCAGCCAGTTGGTCAAGGCTAAGTCCAGTGCTTTTGTACACAAATGCATCGATGACTGATGGTTGTTGAGGTCAAAAGATCAGATGTGAAGTAGTAATCCATACCAATCCTAGAAGAACAACACAGGTTTTCATAGAAAAGCATTTCTAGCTTATATGTATTTTGATGATCTTAGAGGTCTTTTCCAACCTGAACTCTCCCATAATTAATTTGGTGCTCATTTTGTGCTTCACATTACCACATCTTGCTAGTTTTCTGCCTCTCCTAGTTTGTGTGAATTCTGTAAGATTTCTTTGTGTCCCCTCATTTATGAATCTACTTTTCCTACCTTAGGCATTTCGGGATCATCTAGAATATTTACATTTCCTCACAGATGTTTATAGATCATTGTACAAAAATGTCTGATTATCTGCACTGCTGGCATGACTGTGTGTAATGAGGGGCAGATATCTAAACCCAGCTGAGATATGAATAATTTATCTGGAATCTGCTATCCCTGCACATTCACTTTGATTTGTGGAAAGTCAGCAGATCTTGGTTTTCTTACACCAGCCACTACTTTCTGGTCAGCGTGGTTCAAAATAAAGCATAATTTGTATCTCAGATTTTCCACTTGCCAAAGCAGGTGAATGGTGCTTAGTGTTTCAAGCAACATTCCAAGTATCAGTTTTATTGTACTACAGTCAAAGGTTTCCTTGGTGCATTACCACAGCAGTAAAGGAAAACTTGGGTATTTTACAGTATAACTGGGTTGTTGCAAGCCTTAGGTCTTAAGGAAAAATGTCTTAACAGTGTGAAAATATTGATCTTGGACAACTGGCTTCATGTTTATTATTAACTTGAATGAAGAGGAGTTTTGTTAAGAAGGTGTTCCTCAACCACTTGGGTGGCAAAATGCAGCCCAATGTGAGAATGTTCAGTTATACAGAGCTTTGCTATGATGACATGTAACCTTGTTACATGCTTTTCTTGGAATGAAAATTATAGATTGCACCTATTCCAATGTATTTGCCAAGTAAAACCATCAAAAGAGAGATAAGATATCTGAAAAGATTATTACTGTACAGCTTTTTTATTTTTTCATTTGGGAGGAGCTGAAGTTTAAAAGGGATTTAATGGAATGGAGTTTATGGATTAATAGAAAATGGGAATCTCAGACATGGTGAGTTTTAGAACCAGACTGCTAAATTGGTGCTATTTTTGTGTCTCTGGTTAAAATACTTTTGTTTTTAAAAATATTCCAGATAATTATATAAAACATGAAATTTCAATAATTTGAAAAGATAAAGAATAATTTTCCAAGTAAAATATGGAAACTGAAATTGTACTCTTACTAGAACAATATAATTCTGTGAGAAGAGTAATAACTTGTCATGATCTTAATTGCAAACTGACTTTTAATGTACAAATTAAAGTTACTTTGAACTGTTTGGTACTGAACAGTATGATAATTTCATTTGAATGAAAGATTGGTTATGCAAGAAGAAATGCTAGTTTAATTTGTATTCCCATTAACCATCTTAAAAACTCATAGAACAATTTAAATCAAGATATGCTATGATAATCTTCCTGACCTAAAAGTCAGGAAGCTTTTCCACTTTCCTGAGAAAAATAAGCTTCACAATTCTACATTGTTTTCCTTTCTTTCCAGCACATTTGTTTAAAATGTGTAGTTTGAGATAAAGGATAGTCTTTCTTCAGTTGGAAATTAACTTTTTTGGTATTCAGTTTAATGAAGTTGCCTTTTGTTACAGCATTTACTTTTCTTGTTGCATTTATAAGTAACTTGAGAAGAGATGGCAGGTCCGTTGAGAGTTTTGAAATACCTTTGCTTAATCCCATTAGATTTCCAGTATCATTTATAAATATGAAACCACAGACAGATAAAAACATCATCAGGTTTTAATTCTACTGAAGTTATGCAACGTTGGTCATTTGGCTTTCACATGGAAATGGATATTATTTGTTTTGATGTTTTGTGTTATAATAAGTCCTTCATGGAGGAGCTCATAAAGAAGCCGATCTGTCCAGAGTTGTATATTCTTTTAGTGTGTAGTTGTAGCCATAGGAATTGAACATGAGTTTCTATCCACCAAGCTCATCTAAGCAATGAATGGAGCTGGATCACTAGTCCAGAGGCTATTGAGATAGAGGAGATTACACAAAGGTTGAACAATTGGAAAAAATTGGATTTCTCTAAAAAATAATTATCTTTCCTATTAACTTTTCCTGCTTTGTGATTTCAGAAGCCAAGGAGCATATCTTTCTCATGTTATGCCAGAATTTTTGCTTACACCTGAAGATTATGAGATATGGACTGAAGTGAATACTGGGTTGAGGGTAGGTAGGTTTGGTGTTTTTTCTCTTTTTAACAAAGCCCACAAAGTGGGCTTAGTTTCGGGCCTTTGAATACTAGTGGAAATTCTTGGTGGACTGTGAGTGTTCTTACTCTGGTGACTGTTTTGGATTGCATAAATCTAAGCATATGTGTGAGACTAAATAGGAATTTAAGCTGACTCCAACATTTACATTGGTCTCCCTCTTTTTTTTTCAATTCCTTCTGATACTGGTAATAACTGATACTAATGTCTGACAGATATGTTTTAAAGTAGAGATCAGATTATCATACAGATTTTGTCGTTTTTAAGAAAAAGATTTTTTGTATTTTCCCTGTTTTCTGATTGCTGCTTCCAAATGCTGCCAATTCTTTATTATAGTTCTTATTCTTGAGATAACAGCAAACTAAATAGTTTTAATGTTGGTCACTATTGCACTACAGTAGATGTTATCACCCATTTATGCCATTGATTCATTATTGTCCTCTTGTGAATTTCTATCCAAACTAATGAAATGAGTATTGAAAAAAATTCTCATCCTTTTATCTGAAGTATTTCTCACATGAAGTGAAGAGAGGAAGCATGAGAAGCTCAGGCAAATTAAGTGGCAGGCGTATTTTTGTTCTGGAGAACAGAACGTTTGAGACAATGAGCAAACGAGCTTGGACAGATGTGCTGCTGCAGATATACAAGGTAAACTGCAGATATATTTACTACCAGATTCTGAGGAACTGATGGGCAAAATCTTTATTTTGAAAAAGATCTGTAGTATACAGGGAGTTTATTTTTTTCCAAACACATCATTAAAATTAAATACTTGTAAGTACTTTAAGAAGTAAGTACTGTAAGAAAAAGAAAGTGTGAGAATATTTTAAGTTTCATTAAAACTTTATAATTGTGTTAATATGTTCCAACTAGGAAATGTTATAATACAACAGTCTGCATTTTGTAGAATTAAATGTTGTAAAAATATTAGTGCAAGTAAAGAAAACTCTGTCATGCTTTTGTGTTACCCTGCTTAGAATCCTTTTTCACTGGACATAATTGCCTAGATGTATAGCTATAGCATTTATTACTTTACATTTGAACGGAAATTTTAAACAGATAAGCATTTTTTTATATTACCTACTCCTTTTAAAATATGAACAACTTGGTCACTATAGACTTCTCAAATATTTTTCAATTTTATTTTTACTGATTGTAGAAAAAAACTTGGGTGTCATTTTTTCCAAAGTAAAATTTAAGTGCTCATCAATAATCAGTAACATTTATGTGCATAAAAGAAAAATATATTTATTTCTGTTCCAAGGGATGGGAAATAGATTAAAAATACAGCTAATATTTGGTCTTCCCAGTACAAGTCAGACATGGATGTACCTCCAGGATCAGTACAGGCTAGGGGATGAACAGATCATGAGCAGCTCTACTGAGGAGGACTTGGAGGTGCTGGTGGTTGAGAGGCTGGACATGAACCACCCATGTGCACTGTCAGGCCAGAAAACCAATTTTGCCCTGAATTTTATTTTAGGCCTTTAATGTGAATCTTTTCATGAGAAACAATCAGCATAATTTGGAACTAAATAAGCAACTGGGTCATGAAAGATACAATTTTAATATTGTCTATATATTGCTCTGGTCATCAGTGTAAGTAATTAAGCAATTAGTGCTTTGGATAGAATATGCACAGTAATTGTTGGAATACAGATGACCTAGTGGTTTCACAGGGTTCACAGGGAGGAAAGTTGAAAACAAAAAATATTTATGAGTGATTGAGATAGTTAGAATATCTCAAGTTGGAAGGGACCCATAAGGAGCATTGAGTCCAGCTCCTGGCTCCTCACAGGGCTGCCTAAACCAAGCCATGAGGTCGTTCTCCAGATGCTCCCTGAGCTCTGACTGAGTTGGTGCCATGGCCACTTCCCTGGTGTGCTGACCCACCACCCAGTGCTGAACCTTTTCCTAAGATCCAAACTTGCCCTGTTGCAGCTTCATTCCATTTCCTTGTGTCCATGTTGTTGATCATCAGAGGGAAGAGATTGGCACCTCCCTCTGCTCTGCCCTCCTTGAGGAATTTGTAGACTGTGGTGAGGTCGCTCTTCAGCCTTTTCCAAGCTGAACAAACCAAGTGATCTCAGTGGCTTCTTGTTTGTTTTGCCCTTGAGGCCTTTCACCATCCTGTGTAGTGGTTATGTGGGTGCTAATGTGTAATCTCCGAATCCTTTCCTAAATTAGAAAACCTTTAGAGTTTTTTTTGTTTTTTTCTTTATCTGTCAGGTCAAAGTTCTTTTTAAAGTTCATGCTTTAAAACAATTTTTATCATTTCAGGTGTTTGTTCTTCCACGCATTTCTTCCCGTATTTTTCCTGACCCATTGAGCTTGGAAAGCTTGCAGAACATGCCAGGAATAAAATCAGAACCTTTATGCAGTAATGTATACTCTCGATATGAACGAACCATCCTCATCTGGTTGAATAAAAATTATGAGAAGAATCGACAAATTATATGGAAAGATAGTCAAAGAGGTGAGGTAATTCTTTCACTATGTTCTTTCTTCTAATGCTCCTTTTGTAGACTTTTGCATTGTTACTCAAAGAGATACTGTGACAACTTGCCACTGAAAGTATCTTTTAGGTCTAAGTTATTGCCTACCCATATGTATTTCCTTTCCTTGTGTTTCTGTGTTCCAAGACCAGCGTCTTTTGCTTAGCACTGTCCATGATGTATCTTCTGAATTCTGTGTGCTCTTATAGTTTTTAACGAGGCATAAAGGGTGATGTGAACCCTCGCACTTCTTTCCATTAATGTTGTCAGGAAGTGCTAACAGTAATTACTTTATCTTAATATTCCTGTTTATAGTGACACACAGTTGTTACTATGTGTGTTTATAGAGGAATGTTTGAGCTGGCTTTTCAGAATTTTTGGAATATTTTTCTTATGTCCTTTATTCAGTGACATTTAGGAAGGCAGTAGAGACCAAGGTTCCAGATGACAAATCTTGTCCTGCTTGCAAGAGCAGGTTGACTCTCATAATTGCTTGAGTAAGGCTAGATAAAATTACCCTTTCCATTTAAGACTGATCTAGGCACTTGGTGTATTCAAATCTGATAAACTATTCAACCACTAGTAATTATTACTTCTATTTTCTTTCATGATTTTTCTCTTTTGCTTCTTGACCCTAACTAACTTAATTGCTTTTTTCAAGCAGTAATTTTGGATGTGTGGTGAACACCAAGAAAGGCCAGTCTGGTGATAAGCAGGGATGACCTCCAGAATGGCTCATAGGCCACATGTGCAAAAAAATTTCTGCCGTTTTTAACCTCAAGTGATTTATGGCCTCTCTCAATTATAGATAATCTATTTGGATTTCATCTTCCCTAAGTCTCATTTGGGCAGAATCTCTACCTTGCATATGCTTTGACTATCCCTTTGCTTTTCTCATTTTACTGTGTAGAAGCAAATTGTAATGGCTACTCTCAAACATGTTGAATACTTCTGCTGGTAAGATTGAAATGTTAGTCTCTACCTCCTGCATCCAACAGAAACTGGTCCTTTGTGCATATTCTGGGTCTGGTCTTATGAGTAGCTCAAGGAGCTCCCTAGCTAAATAACATGCCCTGCAGTAGGTAGGTGTACTTGCAATATAATATTTTTTATTATCTTTGCCTGCTTTAGTGGGGCTTTCTTACAGGTGCAGGTACTGCTCTGCTGGGCTTTTCTGAGCCCCCTGTGTGCAGATGACAACTTGCAGAGAGAATGGCTCTGTCTGACAAGGGCTATGGCTCACTCTAAATGCTGCATAGATAAATTCCTCATCCAGTCTGTCTCTTCTCTGGATTGCAGGCTCCAGTAAAACCTGGGTGTTGAGGTGTGGCTGGCCTTGTTATGCTCTGTGGGAGTTCAGTGAGAAGAATCTGAGTGCCAAAATATATCTTATTTAACATTAAACTTTTAATTGAGTTATAGTCTCTAAAGATGAGAGGAGTGAATCTGAATCCTAAAGTGCAGCTCTAGTGGACATTACCAGACAAAAAAGCTGCAGATGTCCAAGTGGAATATGCACTAAGGATTGAAGGAGCCAGTTATTGAAAGTGTTACTTTAGTTGCCTAAGAGTATGTAATGAATTATAATATAAAATGAGGGGTCATTAATAAGTCATCATATAGTTTTCAGCAATTGTAAAGTGGGTTTTTTTACAATTATTTAGTTCTAAAGGCTACTCAAAATTGGCATCCAAAAAGAACAATTTAATTACAATATTGGGGTGTTCTAAGAAAATAATAACTTCTGCTAAATCATGCTGTCAGTACAGATAACTCACTAGGTTGATATATTAATTATTGCAAATCTGATTGTAGCTTTGACTCTGGGTCACAGGTGAAGATGAATTCTGTGGTTACTGCCATGGAACATTTATCTGCATTACAGTTCTTGCCTACAATTTCACTTAATTACACTTTTCTGCTTTCAGAGAAGTGCAAGATTGGAATGAAAAGGCAGGGTTTATATATACTTCCTGCATATGGGAAGTTACAGATACTGTCTTGCTATATCAGCTTCTTTATAGGTTTTTGATTCATGACTTCTGTATTCTCTTTTCTGTAGGGTGCACAGAAATAACTTGATGTACACACATAAGCATGCCCTTTTCTTTTGCTTCTATTTCCATTTCTCTCCCCAGACTGCATAAATGAGCAATGGAAAAGATCTAATAATTAAAAAAACGAAAAGAGAAAATTCCGAAAAATTGTGAATTCATGTCTTAGTGTTATGCCTTTGCATTATAAAAGTGTTTAGTTGTGCAATCTTACACTGTTTTGTTTCAGAATGACCTAATATCTCTTTGAATCCTCTGTTTTAGCCTTCTCTTACCTCTAGCTTGTTTTGCTTTTGCTGCCTCAGAATGAATTGGTGTCTGCTACTGTGCTGTTCTTTCTGCCAAATGAAGCAAAGAATCTGAAGGCAAAGAACACAGGAAAGACTTGATGGACTCAATGTCTTTTTTTTTTTTTTTTACCTTGGTCTTTACTGTTTAAGATTGAGCACTGAGCAATCCCAGGCCCTTGAGATGAACGGGACAGTCTGGAACAAGGAAGATTTGGCTTTGGTGGAGGAGGATCAGACTGGGGAGCCACTGGACAGACACAAGCCCAGGGGACCCAGTGGGGTTCACCAAGTGCTGAGAGGCCAATGTCATTACAAGGTCACATTCAACAGCCTTGGAAAGGTCAGGATAGCCTTAGGGGGGAAAGTTTGGAAGAGATGTCATTTCCATCTGGAAAGAGAATCCAGGAAGCTTCAAAGCCAGTCACCCTTGTCTTGTCTCTTGGGATGCTGATGGACTAAATGATCTTTGCAAACATTACAAAGCATGCAAAGTACAGGAACATTTTTGTGAGTAATTGCCATGAATTTCCAAAGGGATAATTATGCTGGACCAACCTGATTGCCTTCCTTGATGACATAGCCAGCTCAGTGGACGGGGGAGAGCATGGATGTTTATCTCAGCTTGGGCAAGGCTTTCAGCATCCTCATGTAACATCCTCAAAATCAAACTGGTCAAGTTCAGGCCAGTTAGGAGCACAGTGAGGACTGAAGTTAGGCTGAACTGCCAGGCTCAAAGGTTGTGGTCAGTAGCACAAAGTCTGTCTGGAGTCTGGTGACCAGTAATATCCCCAGAGATAATTTGAATTTGTTTCTTAAGATCATTCACGGGAGAAGAGCTTATATACCTTGTCAGATTTAATATTCTGATATACTGTTGGTCCTTTAAGTTTTATGATGTTAGGGTTAATCTTTAAATTTATACTCAGATATTTTGACATTTTAAATTACATTAGCTTTAAACTAAGCGTTTAGGCAGGCTTTTCCAGAGGAAATTAACTGTCTCAAGGAAAACTGTCAGAGTATATTAAGTGTTCATGCAGCTCAGTTGAAAGTCTCAAATATCCTCAGTTTTGAATTTTGGTTGTTATTATTTGCTAATTTTAAGAGAAGAACTAGGTTTGGTTTTTTTGTTTTTTTTTTCCCAATTCTTACTACAGTGCAGATCAGAGAGTGTTAACATTTATGTTCCTGCATATTACCATCCAAACACTCTGCTTTGAATACTTAGCCCTGACTAGCAAAATGTATTGACCTGTTGTTTTCAGCTCAAAACAATCTGTTGGGTCATCAATTTCCAGTAAATAAATGAAGATCTATCCAGGCCACATTTCTCAGTCTTTCCTTTGATACCTAAGCTCCTTAGAGTGAAATGTGACAGTGAGAAAAGCCTAAGCTACTGCAGTGCAGAGAGGTTTCAAATATTCATCTTTATTACACTCTTCTAAAGTTGGAGATAACTATGCCATTCATCAGAACTCTCCTCTTGCAGGAATTAAGATCTTAATAGCTTAGGGAGAACATTAGCAAGGAGTTTAATGTCTCCACGTCTTCTCTCCTTACTGCTACTGAAAAATAAATACGTTTTAAAAGCATCTTGGCATGTGTTTTGGAAGGGCAGGCTTTGTACTATGTCTTATTGACCACAAACTGGAAAGCAATGTTGAAACTTGAGTCCAAATGCCATAAAAATGTGAAATTCAGCTATGCTTGTTATGCTGAGACTATAATTTTACATAGGATATAAGATTCGGTGCCCACTTAAGGCATTATATGCCTTATATTATTATATAATAACAGAGGAAATATTAATTATTTGAGCATAATACATTTTCAGTTTACCTTCTAGTGTTCCTTATCTTCATGTTTATTTTCAACATTTCTCTCTGAAAGACTAACTGCTAATAGCATGAAAGACTAACAGTCAGGAAAAACCCTTAAAGAGTTGCTAGAGTATTGGAATATTGTAATTCAAATCCTGTAGTCCCTAAACAGTAGAAAAATCTTGCAGGTTGGTGAATTAAATTGTCTCCTGAGAAGCTGTATATATCTTTCTTATTAATTATGAGTCTTACCATGGTAAAAAAGATAAATTATGTTCTGGAAATAAGGAATTTTCTTCAGTGTGTTCCAGGAAGATTTTGAAAAGAATAAATAATTCTATATTTAATATAAAATTGTTAGAGAAGATGACAGCCAGTAAATAACAGTAATACCTGAACAGTCAATCTATACCTGAGATTCGAGAGCTGTCCCCAGAGCAGATACATCTTCACTTTACTGGGAAAATCTGTTTCAGATGGAAGATAAATTCAAATCCATTGCCAACACAGATAGGTGTGTCTTAGACATAGTGGCATCTCACAAGATTCTTTCTTCCATTTAGGAAAGTTTTGAGATTTATGCATTTTATTTGCTTCACTGTTAGTGAGCTTGAGGGTTTTGTGGTTTTAATTTTTGTGTTTTCTAATTATGATATCAATTCAACATGACATCTGAGTTAAAATGTTAGGGGACAAGATATTTTAGTGTGTGATTACATATCCTCACAAAATTGTGTGAGAGTTAATAGAATTCTGGTTTTAAAACTGATTCTGTAGAACTTTTATTTTAGCATTTATTTTAGCGTAGCAATTCAGA